GTGTGTGTGTGTGTGTGTGTGTGTGTGTGTGTGTGTGTGTGTTACAGAACGCAGGGAGGAGAAGATGGAGCATTATGTGTTTTTTATTATCTCAGGCTGATTACACAAAGAGGTAGAGAATGAAACGAGGGACAGGGTAAGAGGAGAGGGCAGGTGGGACAGAAAGGGACTAAAAGAGAAAATGAAAGATTTGGGTCACATCTCTTCCACTCTACCTGTTGTCATCGTATTAAACGTTGGTTTGCAGCAGAATGATGCAACCGTTCTGACTCCCACATTGGGTCAAAGGTTAGATCCATTAGGAAGCTCAGATCTTGGTAGGATTCAGGATTTCTTTTATTGATGAACAGATTAGCTCTTTTTAGTCTGACATGTATTAATGAACAAACTGAAGATTTCCACTTTACCAATGATGTCATGGAGGACTTGTTCACGTGAAAAAGGTTTTTATTTATTTTTATAAGTATCCTCATGAACACGACACTGTTTCTAAAAATGTTTTTATCCACACAGACATGCAGAAAATGACCCATTTTGGTGCTGGCTCTGTAATGTTGACATCACAGTGGCTCGGTGGTTAGCACTGACACCTCACAGCAAGAAGGTTCAATCCCCACGTCAGAACTGGAGTTTTTCTGTGTGGAGTTTGCATGTTTTCTTTGTGCGTGTGCGGGTCTTCTCCGGGTACTCCAGTTTCCCCCACACACCAAAACCATGTCCAACAGGTCGCCTTCGGGACCAGGCCTCCCTTGAAAAAGAGATCTGTGATCTCAATGGGATCTGCCTGGTTAAATAACAGTAGATAAATATTGGCACCAAAGTACACCAGAGACATAAAGTTTACATGTTGTGTTTGAATCATAGGCATTTTTTATTTTACTGCTTCTGAAGTGTAAAGACCAAAAAAAGATGAGGTTTTTGAATGCAGGAGCTAAAAAAAAATGAACTTTTTTTGTGGACTGATAATGAAGAAGAACTTCTACTTTAAACTACAAATATGCTGAATAGTGAGCATCAAAGTATGCAGATTATCGGTGAGGGGGAAGAATTTCCTCCTAATGTTCAAAGTAAATCAGAGTAAATTCTTTAAACACAAATGTTGATCATATAAAACTATTCCCGTTGATAAAATGTATATTTGACGTAGAATATATGACATTTGATTTCTGTACTAACAGTTCAGATTATTGATAAAAAACCTTCATGTTGTAATAAAAAGGTTTTTCCTATTATTTTGCTCTATTTAAATTTGCTGTTCATCATAATTAAGTCCTTCAGGTTTAGAAGGTTTTGCTGTAGTTGAGAAACACAGGCCTGGAATCTGTCGATATTATTCCTCTAACTGTCACACTTTGGGTCGAGGGTCCGGTCTATGATATCAAAGGTTTCAACAGCTTGTCCACACAAAAACACAAGATGTTCTCAGTCAAACCCAAACTTGCAAAGTACAGTTTGGGGGCACCGAGACCCTGTTTCTGTGTGGTCACAAGGTAGAAACAATAAAAAAAAACTAATGTATTCATAAAACTCATCATAAGGTGGGTGAGTTTGTTTTGTGTCCCCCGCCTCCTGATCAAACAGTGACACTGAAGAAGCAGAGCATCATCAAACACTCACACTTAAACCAGGCTCTCCCTTTGTGATTCTGACTGCAGCTGCACATCAAGCTGCTGCCAAGTGCTTCTGGCACAAGACGGTTCTTTGCAATCATAGCAGAGAGCACCCTTTTGGGTATTGCATCATACAATAACCAGCAGAGCATTTGTTGACTTAAAAGTTTTCCCTGCAGCAGTGTAGACTCTGCTCGTATGAAAGGAGAATCATTAAACTCACAGCAGCAAGTAGATTATTCAGCTAAGGGTCACTGTTGTTGCTTTGATACGATTTAAAGATAATGTGATGAAAGTATGCGGCTACTCAACTAAAACCCCTTCAAAGCACTGAAATCATATATGTATCAAGGTTATTAAAATGTAATGTAAAGGAAATTAAATGTTGATAATATAAATGTGAAAAGTATTTTTAGGCCTCTAATGGTTTAAATAATATCCCTGGTATATTAAAAAGCTATGTTAAGGCTTTAAAAATGTAAATGAGTTTTAATTATTCCCATTATCAAAGTGTAACAGATCAAATACTGATACATTGGCAGAAACCTGCTCTTATGGTCTCACTTCATCGTTTTTCTTATCCTGGTGTGACTTAAAGCTGCTTCTTATCATGTGCCGTCCCAGACTCCCAAAGCCAATCCTGGCTCATTACAAGCAGACCAGCACTGTTTTCATCCCCAACACAAACAATCAGCGCATTCATTCACATCCAGAAAATAAATCTGATCACATTGTGACACATCGTACCCTACAAGCATTCAGAAAATGAAAATGTGTGTGTGTGATACTCCTGGTTGTGTCACAGCAGTCCGCTGACGACTTGGTTTTATTCATTCATGTGGCAACAGCGCCCCCTATCAGAAAACATGAACTCAGCTCAGAAACCAGCTTCTGCAGAGGAGCAGTGGGGACATTTTTTTCTAGGGTTTGTTGTTTGAAATGAACTAATGATTTATTTTCTGTCTGCACTTTCTCAGCAAGTGGACTTTGAAACAAAGAGGTCTTACACTTTAAAGGTGGAGGGATCCAACCCTTACATAGACTCCCGCTTCCTGGCCTGGGGACCGTATAAGGATGAAGCCACAATCAAGGTATGAAGTGTTGATGTAAACAGGAGAGGGTCAATATGTTTCCACGTGGTGCTTAGGAGGGCAGAAACTGGATGTTTTTAGGTTTGGTAAAGTAAAAATACCCTGAGCAGTGATGCATGTTGGTGTGTTGCTGTTTGTAGATTTCAGTGGAGGATGCAGATGAGCCTCCAGTTTTTGTAGCTCCCAGTTACACTTTTGAGGTGGAGGAGAACGCACCCAAAGGCACCTCGGTGGGACGAGTTCATGCCAAGGACACTGATGTTGCCAACAATCCTGTTAGGTAAAATAAACTAAATAGACTCAGAAATGCAGCTTCTCCCTGCTGCTCATTTCTCATCCACAATAACTAAAGTCATCTTCAGTGGAGAATCAAATCTGTGCACAGAGTCTCTCAGCATTGTTTGCCTTCAGAGTCCAGACCAGGAGTCAGGAACCTGCTCCTCTGGGGCCATGTGCAGCTCTTTGGAGCTTTGATCGAATATGTAATGGAATTAATATTTATATTTAGCTCCACAGGACAAGTTCATTGTAGGAAGTCATGTGAAGAAAACTACTTTAACAGAACGATACTTTCTGAAATCACCAAGAAAAATGAACCACTTTCCACATTTAAAGCAGGTTACTGAGGAGAAAACACAAAGTACAGTTACAGTATATAAAACATTATTACAAGTCATTGGAATCAGGTGTTGTGTAAAAAAATGTTACTCTGACAAGAACTAAAAGTAACGGCTTGTTTTTCCTAAAAACATCAAAGTTTAGGTAAATAATGTATCTGTCGTTAGAAGAAAATTCAGAGTCACAAAATAAACATCCACTAAATGTTTTCTTGTAGTTTAGCAGGATGCAGATTTATTATTTCAAAATGAGATTCTTTCTAATTTATTACAAACATAGTCCTACACAGAGGACCATACAACAAATGTTTTTTATCTTAGTATTTAAGACTAAGAAACTTATATTAGAGTCTATACAGTTCAGTAATTTCAGAAAGTAAGAATTTAGTTTTTGGGAATGTTCTGTTTAGAAAAAATAAATTTATTGTGTTATTCCAGTTTTCTTTTTTCTTTCTGTAGGTTTTGTGTGGACCAATTAGATTCCGTGGGAAATGCACAAAATGACTCCTTAGATCAGTGTTTCCCAAAGTTGGGGTCGGGACCCAAAGTGGGGTCCCGAAACATCAAGGTGGGGTCCTGAAAAGATTTTCGGATTTAATGACATTTTTGCCTTAGATGTTACAAAGGAGTGAGGTTAGTGTATTTAAAATGGATAAATGTAGTATGCCCATGTTTAGTTGACCTGATACAAATGTTTATCATCCAGAAACAGTTGGGGGCTCAGGCTGCTACTGTTATTTTGTGGGTCAAAAGCTGAAAAGTTTGGGAACCACTGCACTTTGGTTCCCAAAGTTGGGCTTGGGACCCAATTATTGGTCATGAAGCACCTTGGATAATCTCCAGAAATCAATTTAAAGGGTAATAAAATAATTGCTGATGTAATATTTTCCCTATAACTATTACAAAAACACAAAATAAGTATAAATAAGTATTTTTATTTGTGTGCAAGCTGTTTAGGTTGTCAAAAAGCCTGTTTTTTAGGGTTATTAATGAAGTTCGTGTACTCAGACCAGTAATATTTGGGGTCACAAGTTTTTGCCATGAATATTTTGTGGGTCAGAAGATAAAAAGTTTGGGAACCACTGCCTTAGATAGTAAAGGTTGCTAGTTTCTGGTCTGGACTTAGTACTGCAGGGAGTCTTCCTTTTGCTCCGCTCACAGTGATGAATGTGAAACCTTTTAGCTGCTGCAGTAAGCGCTAAATATTCAACATCACACAAATAAATGTGTGGTAACTGTGTGCAGATACATGATTCCTCTCTACACGGATGTAGAGCAGTTCTTCAGTATTTCAGAGGACGGGATGATCACGACAACGAGACCCCTGGACAGAGAAACGCAGCCCTGGCACAACATATCTGTTTCAGCCATAGAGATCGGTACGTTTACAACTCACCAACACTCTGACTCCGTCACTGTGACCGAAGAGTCTTTGTGTCATTGCTCGTATGATTCAGATTTAAATATTTACCTGTTCAATTATTTAAGGGCTATTTTTATGTTTTCCTAAGACGTTAAACAGCAACAGCCTGAATGGTTTTGCTGGTTAAAAAAAAGACACAAATGTGAGCTAACGTGGGAGAGTCCATCACCACCAGGTTGTTCATTTGCTGCCATCTAAAACCCAAACTGTCACTCCGCAGCATTGGAAACACTCCAAACATCTTCTGTACAGCCTGCTGAATGTACCATGCTAACTTTAAATTTAATTCTAAATGTTTGTGCTAAATTTCAACCAGGCTTTGATGAAGATTTCTGTCAGAGATACTGGGGTCTTCCTCAGCTTTACCTGTTGACTTCAGGTTGTGTAATTCTTTGTTTGGTACCTCTGATGTTCTGTTTCTCCATGTGGATTATTGGACTCTTTTCATCCAAAACACTGGCCAGAAGCACAAACACAATGCTTCTGTTTAGTTGTATTGATTGGTAGGTTATTTTGATTTGTTTCTTTTTTTTATCTTACTTTTTTCTGCACAGAACCTGAGGGAAGAAGGAAAACAAAAACTATAAAATATTCACAATCTAGGCTTTCTTGAAGCCAAGATAAATTTGAACCAACTTCATCTTATCATGAAAAAAAACATTGTTGTAGTCATTTTGGTTCAACTTTGATGTTTCCAAGTGCTCATGGGAGATTTTCTGAGATATGTTAGCAATATTTGTTAGAAAGAAAGTTCGAATGACTGTCTGCGACTACCACTTGACCTTCAGCTCAATATCTGTTAAATTGAGTTTTTGTGTTTCCTAAAGTAAGAAGTCTTGAATAAAGCTGATCAGTTCTGGTCAGTTCTGTGGTTCATCAGGTAATTTGCTCACAGACACAGTTGACTCTAATCATTACTGTCAAAATGTTATTAGTGATCTTGTGTGATTAGTTAGTGACTGGAGGTTGTGTTGGGGATTATTCTCAGCTACTACTACAACAAATTTCAGCTCAGTGTCTGTGAACACGACTGAATTAGAGCCATTTTTCTACTGGGTAAGGTAATTTAGCCATGGCAGCCATCTTGAATCAGGTTGACGTCTGTCCTGTGGTTCATCAGATGTTTTTTAACACTACAGTCACATAAACAGACACCACCCTCTCCCACACAGACACATAACTGTCCTTTAGCTTCAGCCACAAACCATAATAAATCTGCTACAATGAAAAACAAATCTGAGGAATAAAGAGAAGCTTCCATCTTTACTGGTTCTATATAAAATGGTTACTTTTAGTGTAGTTGTAGGCTTTGAGTGTGTGAGGTGGTTAAAGGACACAGAGTCAAACAAAAACCTGAACTGAACGTGCCCCAACTTTTACAGGCCGAACATCAGAGTAACTCTGATGAAGTGAAATGTCTTGGTGGGAAAAAGCAGGGGTATGAGCAGTTAACCACAGGCTAGCTGAGTTTTCTCTCCCTGGCTTTGACTCCAGAACCTCCTCCCGGGCCACAGTGGCCCCACCCTGGTATTCAGTGGTCGGGACTCACGCTACAGTGAAGGACCGCGTGGTTTCTCTGCGGTGTGATAGACGCCAGATGGACAGATGGAAATGGGCTTGCCGCCCACAAAGCTAGAAGCATTGCAGTCCATGTTAACCACTTTTAAACCCTGGGAAGCTGAATAAATGTCCTGTAATGACAGGGTAGAGGGGAAAAAATCACATTGACTAGAACTGCAAATATGCAGAAATGCATCAGCCCATTTTTTTTCCTTCATTTTCAGTGTAATGTTTGTCACTTTGGCTTATCAAAATGTTCTTTGTATAAAAAAGATGGTGCTAACGGAGTGGCAGGCTGAGTCTTTTTTGTTTCTCAGAAACTCATGTCTGTAATTTCTGCAAATCAAAATAACAAATAGCAGGCTGAGTGGCTGACTGACTGACAAGGCAATCTTGTTAGGAAGAATGTGTTTTTTCACTCAATGACAAAAATTCATAGTAAAACAGACAAACAAGCAATCAGAAACCCACCCTGAAACAAAAGACAGTCTGACTTTAATGACTTTGACTTGTAAGTTTGTGCGCAGCAGAATGCTGATGGTTTTTGCTCTGTGCTGTGTGTGCACGCAGGAGGCCACCACCAAGACACAAAAGTGCGTGTTAACATCAAAGTCAAAGATGTGAATGACAACCCCCCAGAGTTTGCAAGCAACAACGAGGTCTTCATGTGTGAAACCGTAGCACCGGGGAAGGTACAGCTGTCTGCATGAGACAGTGTTGTAAACACATGTCAGCATGGAAACAGAAAAAACACCAGACACTGTTTCATATCGATGCGTGGCCTCTAACTCTTGTTTCCGTGTGTTGAATTCAGGTTATTGAAAGCGTCAGTGCAGTGGACAAAGACGAGATGGCTCACAGGCAGCATTTTACATTCAGCCTCGCTCCAGAGGTTGCCCACAACCAAAACTTCTCCCTCAAAGACAACAGAGGTGAGCCCTTTAAATCTTTTTCTCTTTTCTTTTTTCATGTTTTAGTTTGTTCCCTTCTTCTCTCACCTCTTCACTCAGAATAGATCAAAGCATAAGCAGATGGAGGCTTACACTACCTTGTAGGACTCGGCAGGTCCTCTGAACCACCGCCCCCCCACACACACACACACACACACAAAATATGTTTCTCTATCCTTGTGGGGACTTTCCATTGACTTCCATTCATTTACTGGTCATTTCTATAGCCTGACCCTGACCCCTTACTCTAAGGTTAACCACTTCATTACATACCTTACCCTAAATCTAGCATAAACTTAATTCACATCTTGGTCCTAAACCTAACCCCACCTAAAATTAGCCTCCGAAGTTTTGTGGACCAAGCTTTGGTCCCCACAAGGAGCATTCAGTCCCCACGAGGCTGCATTTTCCAAAAAATTCAACCCCACCAAGTAGCAAAAACATGGGCACACACACTCATCCTTGTACTTGCATCAAGCTGAATATATTTTATTGACTTCCATTTGTTTTTGTAACTGCGTTTATGCCTAACCCAGACATTTCCCTAAAAATAACCATTACTAGTCTATTCCTAACCCAAACCTAAATCAAAACTTAATTCACACCATACCTCTAAACCTAACTAGTAGAGCACAGTAGATCTGCAAATAAAGTGAGGACATTGAAGACAGTGAAGTTACTATCAAATACCTTACTTTGATAGTCTGTAGTAAAAACAAGTGCACACAAACACGTCCTGTGAGCTGCATTAACAGCACAGATGAAGACGTTGGAGCGGCTCTTCCTCAGACCACAGGTGCAACACGCTCAGGATGAACTACAGTTTGTGTACCAGGCAGGTGTTGGTGTGGAAGATGCCATCCTTTACCTGCTACACTGAGCCCATTCACACCTGCATAAGGAGAATGGCAGGGTGAGGATTCTCTTTTTGGACTTCTCAAGTGCCTTCTGAACCATCCAGTCCCTTATGCTACAGGAGAAACTGAACGGGATGACAGTGGACCCCTGCCTGGTCATCTGTATCACCAGTTATCTTACCAACAGGCCGCAGTACATCAGGCTGAAGGACATCACATCTGACACTGTGATCAGCAGCACTGGAGCACCCCAGGGCATGGTGCTGGCTCTTCTCTTCACTCTGTTTACGGCGGACTTCTGTTACTACTCGGAGCTGTGTAACATCCAGAAGTTTGCTGATGACACAGCTAGAGTCGGGTCTATCAGGGATGACAGAGAAGATGAGTACAGGAGCCTGATAAGGGACTTTGCTGTCTGGTGCCAGAAGAACCATCTGCAGCTCACTGTTTCAAAGACTAAAGAGCTGGTCATTGACTTTAAGTCTTAACCAAAGTCAAAACCAGTTCTTATTGAAGGAGCTGAGGTAGAACCTGTGGACCCTTATAAGTACCTCAATCTGTGGCTGGACAGCAAGATGAACTGGACCTGTAACACTGACCATCTGTACAAGAAGGGACAGAGCAGGCTATACTTCCTCAGGGGGCTGCAGCCCTTTAACATCTGCAGGAAACTCCTGTGGATGTTCCATCAGTCTGTGGTTGCCAGTGTCCTGTTCTACACTGTGGTGTGCTGGGGGGCAGCATACCAAAGAAGGGCACAGCCAGGCTAGACAAACTGATCAGGCGGGCTGGCTCTATGGTTGGGATAGAACTGGACCCTCTGGTGATGGTAGCAGATAGAATGACTATAGACAAACTACTGGACATCATGGATGATGCCAGTCACCCTCTACATACCATCAGCAGCAGCCAGTGGAGTCTATTCAGTGACAGACTGCTCCTTCCTAAGTACAAGACCAATAGACTAATGAAATCTGTTGTCCCTTATGTCGTCAGACAGTACAAATCCTGTACAGGAGGACAAAGGATAGGAGACAGAAGGAGCAGTAGCCTGATCATCACAAATGGGACTGTTAACAATTACAGCAGTAAAAAGCTGCAATAATGATGTGCAATAGACTTTGTAATGTAGTTGTTTTTTATTCCCCTTCTGTTCTTCGTTGCTGCTGGAAATGTAATTTCCCTGAGGGAACCTGCCAAAGGGATCAGTAAAGTTGTATCGTATTGTACCGTATCACATTGTATTGCATTGCACTGGGTATCTGTCTGTCTGTAATGTGTCGTGAGGGAAGGTAACTGATTGGATTAGTCTCTGCCACTCCTCAAAAGACCTAAGTATGACAGATGAGAAAATAAGAAAAACCAGAGCAATAAGTGACGGAAGACAACACCAACTAATTAAAATCTAAATTTCTCCTTGCAAATATCACTATAACCCTCAAAATTCTCAAAGTCAGGACTCCATTCAGATTCTCAACAAATGACACGCTATTCTAGTTGCAGCTAATATGAAACATTACATTATTGCACTGTTACAACGCAGTGAAGAGTGGTGTGGCTCCTTTAAGTCAGAGGCAGAGAGGGGGAGGGGGAGCTCAGTGTGAGAGTCGAAGCACAACCACCGAATTTCAGCTCAGTATCTGTAAGACTTCCTGGGTCATAGCCATTTTTCTGTTGGCTAATTTTGCTTAACTGTGGCGGCCATATTGAATGGGGCTGACCCCAAAAGGTAATAAGTTGTAGACGTCAATCCATCGCTTTCATTAGGATTTAAGAAACACAAACCCAGGTGTTCATCTGTAATTTTACTGTACATAGAATATTATTAGATTACCATGTTGTTTGCACTGCAATGCATTCTGAGTAAATGACTCTGACTGGTTGCTTCAGTGCAAGCCCCATTCATCTTTAGCATTAATTTTGGACTGCGTCTGATGTTCAGCTCTTTTCATTTGAACTAGAGCATGTTACTAGAGAGGAGGATGGCTCAGCATGCATCTGAAAGCCTGAACAGATGAAGAGGAGGGAGTCGGACAAAGGAGCTTACCAGAAAACTGATTCTACCTGAGCTCCGCTTTCTGTCACAAGCTGCTCGTGATAAGTGTCAAGATGAAAACATATTCTCGTTTATATTAGAATAATGCCTTACACTTGATATAATAAAGAGTTAAAGATAGTTTTGTCCCTTCACACATCTGCTGCTTGTCCTAACTTGGGTCACAGGGTTTTGGCGCCTGTGCTTAGCAAAACTTTGCTCTGCTCAGACCCCAGAGCAATACACAACAACGCTTCTCACACAAACACACAATAATCACTGACAGGCACACGTGTGATGGTTGTCTGCTGCTGCCCTGCAGATGGTGGACGGATGACAGAAGTTTGTGGGGCACCTCTTAGCTTTAGCCTTTTTCGTGTTAGCCTCAAAAATAATATACTAAACATCACAAATTGATCACGTTTGATCGTTTCAACCCGTATTATATGCATAATGGCTTATGGACTAATACAAAACAGAAATTTATAGTTACACATTATAACTTTTTAGCCTTGACTCTTTGTTTTTGAATGTAGAATGCAAAATGTCTACATCATCACCCCAGAATGCATTGTGACAATACAAAAGGTCTCATGAAAATGTAATAAACAGATACAATTTTCAAAGTAATCAGGTGTTTTCACTTGTCACAAATTGCAACTATTGGTAGAATAAGGACTTGATAAAATCTTATGGCCAACATGTAGGTATAGTCGGAGATCAATTTAAAGCTAAATTCCTTTCAGGTTCAGATGTGATCAGTTTGTACTCATTTTCACAGAGTTAATGTGAGTGTTAAAAGTTGTTATTTTGGCAACTGAGCCTTTGAAATAATCACTCATATAACTCTTGGTTAGCAGTCAGACTTTTGTTACATTTGGAAATGAAAAGTGATGCAGAGGAACAGAAGGCAGTAAGAACCACAGAGGCTGAACCTGAGGTCTGTGTGGTGTTCTAACACCAATAACTGGGCTTTCTCAATACATTTTCTTTGCAACAGATGAGTGCAGCTGCTATTAAACAGAAATTTAATATCCCCAAAGTCACACCTCACTGACTGTTTGTGTGTGCAAATGACTCAGGGTCAGTGTGGAAAATAAAAAAAAAAACAGAAAAACATAATTTTCTGTTGTTGTCGCAAAAGCAGAAACACGTTGGAATAATACCAGAAGGGTCTGCGTACATGATAATCAAAGTATGATTTAATGGTGAGCAACGAACGAACAGAACTGAATCAGGAAGTTCTGCATGCTCGCTACTGGCGCGTCAGCAGAAGTCAGTCAATAATATACATCATGTCAACACCATGTGACAGCTTACAACCAATCACAGATTGCCAAATGTACTGTGCAGCCAATCACAGACTCCCACCAGTCCATTGTGGAGTCCCGTTGTCCAGACAACGAGAGCGTAATGAGCTATCAGAAAGATACAGCGATGGACAGTGTCAAGGGGAAACAGATATAAATAATTAGACCATGACACTGTAAAAGTACAGCGTGAGTGGGGAATGATTGAAAAAATAAAACTTAACTGGGAAAGTTACAGCAATCAGAACAAAAAATACAATTATTAAAACAGTAGCTAAATTCTAAAATGAGTACAAATGATATAAAAAAAATCTAAAATTAGCAATTAAATTAGAATTAGCAAAAAGCTATTTTAAAACTAGTAAAACAACTAAAAGCTAAAATTAGCAAAACAACAGATTAACGTTGATTCTCGTAATTTTCAGTTGCCTCAGTGAGGAAATAGCCCTATCTGTGCTAACACCATTCAAGATATTCCAATTTTTTTAAATTATGTTTATTTTCATTTAATCTTCCGTGGCACAGTAGTGCAAGTGAAATGTTTTCCAATTGTGGTGTTAGATCTTGGTGTTAGATCTTGTGCAGCTGTTGTTAGACACTGTATCTTTTCTTCATATCTTTTTATTCATTTATGCGTAGAGTTGAGAATCTGCAGAATGGTATTTTACAAGCTCTGGTCTGCCCTAGAAACAGCTCTGTTAGGTATACATCAAAAATATGGAGACACTGGTGTAACTGTCTATACAGTATGTGTAAATAGTTTGTGTTGTAATTTTATATTGTATTTTTATATACTTTTGTTTTTATTTTATTTTCTCGCTTTTTTATTTATTTTTTAATTTTTTGTATATGGACCGGGATTATGTGTCCTTAATAAAGTTTGACTTGACATGACTTGAATCTTTGCTTCTTCCTTCTTCAATTTTCTTAAAATGTTGTTTTTCTTATATTTATATTCTGCTTAAGAAGTTTCTATAAATCATGTATTTTGCAGGTGTTTTGTGATCCTTCTGTGATCTAGGGAGAATTACAATATTAATATTTGGTATAATAAACCCTTATTGGACATTTTTTTATTATAAAGCTTCATCAACACTTCTAGAAATTTCAAGTTAAAGCAAAGAAATCATATTAAAATGCTAAATTTATCAAAGCAGTAGCTAAACTTAGCAGCAGTACAGTGGTTCTTAACCTGGGTTTGATCGAACCCTAGGGGTTCGATGAGCCGGTCTCAGGGGTTCGGTGAAGCCTCTGCCACGGAGGTAAAAACACATTTGTGTCAAGTCATGATGACACGCCCCACTTGGCCATCACTTGCTGCAGAGGATCACATGAGATTGCTTGGCCAATCAGTGCTGGCCCCAAAAAAGTATTTTGGGGATTCAAAATGACAAAAAACAAATTAATTTTAAAATAATTGAATAAAAAAGTTATTAAAAATGTTAAATTCTTCAAAAAATCCCAGTTTATTTTTTTATTAGTAAAATACTAAAATATATTTTTGGGGGGCTGAAATTTTTTACGGGGGCAAATTATTTTTTGGGGTGCCAGAATAAAGTCATACTGTAATTTGTTGAGAGTTCATGCATTGTGTTGGTTTTGTTCTTTGAGCAAGGTGATGTTCATGCACGGCTCATTTTATTCACCTGTAAAAAAACCATATACTGTACCTATGTCTTGAATTAGGAAAAAAATCATATTTTATTTATCACTAAAAAGGGTTCAGTGAATGCACATACGAAACTGGTGGGTTCGATACCTCAAAAAAGGTTAAGAACCACTGCAGCAGTAGCTAAAAGCTAAAAATGAAGCAAGTACACTGACGCAACATTTGTAGAATTTTTTTTAATAGAAAAACTATTGTTAAAATTTTGAGATTGCATTTACACAATATGCAAAACAAATGTTGAAATGTTCAATTTTTTTCTCTTCAAGATACAGTTTGTGGTAAAATCTGTCTGAGGAATGATCCATCATTTCATCATCTCACTGTATGTTTGTCTGCTTGTCTCTCCACAGACAGCACAGCCAGCATCTATGTGCTCCGTAAAGGATTCAGCCGTTTAACACAGGATGTTTACTTCCTTCCCATTGAGATAAATGACAACGGTTTCCCATCTATGAGCAGCACCAACACACTGACCATCAGAGTTTGTTCCTGCGACAGTAAAAACACCATCCTGTCCTGCAACGTGGAGCCCTACATCCTGCCTGCAGGGCTCAGCACTGGTGCTCTGATAGCTATACTGGCCTGTATCGTCATCCTACTGGGTGAGAAACAAAACAAATCATCCTTTTGACTAATATCGTCTAATTCTGACACTAACCTTAGTCAAGTTTTCTAAAGCCTTTTTGCCAGAAGCAAAATTTGTAAAATGCAACAAAAATATTTGTATCTGACAAAAAACAAATAATTCTCAGCATAAGGATTATGAGTAATATGATAAACATTTAAAGGTCAGGCTACAGGATGTGAAAGAAAAACCTTGTGGATTTTACATCCCTATGCCATTAGAACGTATGTTTTCATATTTAGATTTGTTGATAAGTCAATGAAAAAGTTGATTGATTTAATTAGTCTACAATAGAGAAATGTTATGTATTTGGAATATGTTGAAAGTTATTTAGATGTTACAGACCACAAACAGAGAAGCCTACCAAGAGATGGTACAAGTCATAGAAAGTGTAGACTAGGGAAGTGGGAAAGACTAATAGGGAGGAAGTTTGGTAAACTTTGAAGAGGATATAGAAGTTGGATCTGATGACATATAAGTGAAGGTATGGAAATGTCTAGGAGGATGGCATTGAGGTTTTTGACTCAATTATTTAATGGTATTTTTAAAAGTAAGAAAATGCCTGAGGAATGGAAATGTATGTTGATGACAATTTTAATAATAAGGGATGTACAGTATTGTAGCAACTACAGGGGAATGAAGTTGATGAACATCTGGGACAGAGCTGTGGAAGCTAGATTTAAGCTTGAGTTATACTTCAATATGGCGTGAGACAGCAAGTCGGCGATTGCGCCATTTCACATATTTTTTCCTGATCAAGTTTAAACAGGCTGAAAAGCAGACATAAATTATCATAATTCTTCCCTATGCCCTCCCACCGTTTATAGATAAGTATATAAACAACAATAGTGATGGCTGGATATTGTTTTTGAGCTGGGCATTATTTTATTTTATTTAATGTTATTTAACCAGGCAAGCCCCGTTGAGATCTCAGATACCTTTTTCAAGTGAGGCCTGGGCCTGAAGGAAACACGTTTTTGGGGGTGGGGGAAACCGGAGTACCCAAAGAAAACCCACGCAAGCACGGGGAGAACATGCAGGTCCGAACTGGGTATCGAACCCAGGACCTTCTTGCTGTGAGGCATCAGTGCTAACCACTGATCCATCGGGCCGCCTAAATGCATGAAGCACTATGCCAAACTGTAGGAGTGACAACTACGATGAGCAGAGTGGAGTCAACTGGGCTTAATGACAGTCAAAAGCAGATGAGAGAGGGAGAGGCAGAACCAAGGAGTGGTAGACTGAAGAGACACACAAAAACTGAACACAGGCGAACTCTAAAAACTGAATATGTGAAATAAACATGAAAACAAAAATAAAAGAACACCATAAACACAGATAATTGCAGCAATATGTAATTACACTCCAAATGTGCCCTCCTATATTTCCCAAAGGCCACACAAATTATATAGTTCATATTTTTCATCTTTTTTATAGAAATTTTAGAAATTTCGAAGTGACTGTGATGTGTTAATTAAATGCCAAACAAGCTGTAAATAATGTGTTTGTGTGTTTCTGTTTGGCAGCAATAGTTGTGCTGTTTGTTGCACTGAGACGTCAGAAAAAAGAGCCCTTGATAGTATTTGAAGAGGAGGACATCAGGGAGAATATCATTACTTATGATGATGAAGGAGGTGGAGAAGAGGATACTGAGGCCTTCGACATTGCTACACTGCAGGTAAAAAAGACACAAAAATAATCTTTGGGTCTTTATAAAGACACTGATTAATCCTCACATGTTGGTGATATTGCTGTAACATTAGCATGTTGTTTAATACTTTTGTTCTTTTAAACTAAAAGTAAAAAACGTAAACATTGCTGCATATCGCAGCCCGGTACATACCTGGTTTATACCTGACATATTTCTGGTTTTTACATGATATTTGCCAGTATTTGGGTCAAAAAAGAGACAGAAACTTTCCTCTAAATTTTAGAAACAAACTTTCCAGAAGCTTTTCATGGAAAGTAGTCACAGTTTTCATTACATAACTGGTACTTATTTGGCTTATTCCTCATACTTACCTGGTATGTACCTGTCTTAACTGATACCTACCTGGTTCTTACCAGTGACCTGCCTGGTAAGAACCTGGTATGTACCTGGTTCTTACTGGGTACATGCCTTGGTCATAACAGGTATATCCCAGGTGCTTACTGAGCACAGACCTGGTAGTAACCTTGTACATGCCAGGTATTTACTGGGTACCGGTATGTACCGAGCTGCGTTATGTACTGCTACCAAACTTTGTCACCATTCCAAAAAGTTTTGTAAATATTTGAATGTGCTGCATCTTTATTTACAAGCAAATTAATTAAATAATATTTGTACTTTTTTATTTTCTCTAGCTTTAAATCTCTGTCTTTATCTAACTGTTCTATGTTTCTTCCAGAATCCAGATGGTGCCAATGGTTTCCTGCCAAGGAAGGATATTAAACCAGAACTTCAATATCCCCTCAGGCCAGGCATCGGGCGTCCTGCAGCCAACAGCATTGACGTTGATGACTTCATCAAGACTCGAATTGCAGAAGCTGACAGTGACCCCACGGCTCCTCCTTATGACTCCATTCAGATCTATGGCTATGAGGGCAGAGGATCACTGGCTGGATCTCTGAGTTCACTCGAGTCTGTCACAACAGAGTCTGACTTGGATTATGACTATCTGCAGAGTTGGGGGCCGAGGTTTAAGAGGCTGGCAGATTTGTACGGGACCAAAGACAGCTCAGTTCATGACGCTGATGATGGGGAGGACTCTTAACAACGGTTTTCCTCAGTGGTGGACGCCCCTGATTTCTGATGTATTGATTCCAAGAAGATGTGTTAATCAAGGGTTAATTCTCTCCCGTTTCCAGTTGTCACCATCTTCCAACTGATTAGTTCATGCCAATTTGTCAACGAACGTTAACTGCTCTCCCTCTCTGTTGCTGGATGTTCGTGACAGTTTGTCAATGAACACATAATGAATGCTTCGAGTTGAACCACTCCCACTTTCCTTAAGTTTCTCCTGTCTCTTCTATAGTTCCTTTACTCTGTTTCTTTTGCAGGGCTAGGAGAATGGTTATGTAACCAGTTTGTTTGTCTGTGAGCAGTTTGATGGAAACAGTGTTGCTATATCATTAGTAAGACTTGCCTATAGCAAACTGAGTGTAAAAGAGGTTTTGTATGCTTTTATGGACTAGATTCATGTACTTCCTCAATAGTTCCTCAGAGAGATTTTATTACCTTAACACTTCCTGAGCGGAGCAGATTTTGCTTTGTTGCTCTCTCAAAAGAGAAGAGGGGTAAGATGAAAGTAATTTAAAAGAAAAAAAGTTTGAATGGGATCCAGCAACTGCCTGCTTACAGGCATAAAAGCTGAAGTTTTTTTCTTTTTTTTTCTGAAAGGTCCAATTTGTTGTTTTATTGTTGAAAACAGCAGGTATTCTGGTTTAGATGGGTTGATCAACTCTGGGTTGTTGATACTTCACAGTATGGTGGCCTTATAATAATTAAACAACTCCAGGGGTAGACACACATAAAACAGAAGATAGAGACCACTAGCTTTCAGTAGCTACACAGACAAGTGAACTCAAAGACTGTAGGAGTATCTGTGAAAATGCTGAAGAAGTATCACCTTTTTTCTACTCCCAAAAACAAAACTGAAAAAAGATTCCATTTCAAAACTGTGGATTTTTCTTTGTTTGCATTTCTCACTGCAGAGATGTTTTTTTTAAGTTGTCCTATATCACAGTCTTGGTGTCCAACGCCCACCATTAGCAACCATTTCCCACACTGAGTCAAACCCATGAATGATCACCTACATGTTTCACCATTGATGACAATGAATTGAAATCTGTGAGCTCTAAATATCGCCTTAAACCTAATGGACACTCTTACAAAGCAGTGCATTCTCCTTATTTCTCCTTTTGTTTGGGGGGGTGGGGTTGTACCTTAAAAGGTATATTGGAAAAGCAAAGTGTTCTCTTTGTTAGGTGTGTACAGAGCAGACATGTGATATATCACTCTGAGGATCCAACCTTCGCCTCGAGCATTCTTCAAAAAGGATGTTCTGTTTCTGCCGGTATATTAAATGTAGATGGTTTGAATGTGTTTGGTGTTGTTTTTCCCTATGCATTTGATGTATATTCATCATTTATCAAACATCATGTATGTTGGCAGCAACACCTGTTGTATCAACATGTGTTGCCATTAAAACATAAAATCTTCACATGGGGAAAAAGAACACAAGGAATTCCAGGAAGGCTGAAAACAGAATATCGTTTTTAAAGCATGCAGGTTTTATTATTATGATTATTAGTGTTGTTTTTATTATTATTATTATTATCATTATTATGACAGTAATTGTTATTTTATTGGCTGCAGCTTCACAGGAAGAAAATGATGTTTAACTTTTTGCAGATGATATTCTAATGTTCTTGCAGTTTTCTGAACATTGATCAATTAAAGGAAAGGTTTCATTTTAATTTATTGGGCTGCTTTAAGAAAATGACTGCCTAAAGTTAAACCATCAGCTTTGTGTAACAACTTTTATCCTTTGTTTTCTTTTTTATCATTCAGCAGGTTTGTTTCAGTATTTCTCCCTGTTCCAGAGGAAAACTAGCAATCTGTGTTTGTTGAAGTTGGAGAATGCCTCCTTTTTATTCTCTGTCAAGTTTTATGGTACAGATTTGTACAATTTTAAAAGTTCTTATTTTAGTATACATGCAGAATATTCCAGTATTACAACAAAAACATGTTAAAAAGATTTTAAAAATATTACAACATCACACTTATATTTTCTGAACATTGTATTGTTGCTTTACAATGTGCTTCAATCTCTGAAGCAGAAAAAAATCTTTGAAATAAATACTCTTTTTATAAAACTATACTGAAATCTGTGTGGGGTAAACTTTTTATGGCCTGCTGCTTAAAGGTAAGTATATGGTTTTACTCACACACATATGTGTGTGTGCCCTTGTTTTTGCTTCTTTGTGGGGACGATTTTTCAGGAAATTGCGGCCTTGTGGGGACCAAAGCCCGGTACCGAAGACTTCAGAGGCTGATATTGGGTAGAGGGGTTGGGTTTAGGACCAAGGTGTGAATTGAGTTTAGGTTAGTTATGGTCAGGGTTGGGCTATAAAATTTCCAACAAAAAAAAAAGTCAATGGGAAGTGCCCACAAGGAAAGAGAGACAAAGTAGGTGTGTGTGTGTGTGTGTGTGTGTGTGTGTGTGTGTGTGTGTGTGTGTGTGTGTGTGTGT